ACTCAGCTCCCTATGGGCATAGAGCCCAAACCTGACATGCATGGCTATACCTGTTCAGTGATGCACTGTTGTTAACTGGTCTGAATCCCCGAGACATCTGTCCCCTGTCTACTTAGATTGACTGTCAATTTACAGTAGTCCAGGAAAGTAGGCGCCCTAGTCCACTTTACCAATGAGGAAGCTGAGGTTCAGAGTGGGCAGACATCATCTAAGAGCGGGGAGATGGTGTAATATCGTGGAATGAGGGGCCTGGGCTGCTCCTTGACTCTCTTTACCCCTCCACAACTGTGCCCAAAGTAATGTTATCTGAGCTTCCACCATGCCAGGCCCTTTGAGTGAGGTAATAGGACTGAGCCCATTTAAGGCTGAGGGTCCCAAGGCACAGAAGGGTGAGCCCCTTTCCCAAGTGCACGCAGCAGGAAGAGGCTGCAACTAACCTTCCCTTCCAACAAGTTCCCTGCCCTCCTCCCACGGTGGTGCTGAATTGGTAGGATATGCCAGGTCAGTCACAACACTGTCACTCTAGGGATAGGATGCTTATTAAAGGCAAAGCATTGAAATGGCTCTCTTCTCTTGGCCCTCTTGGCCTCACATGTCTCTAAGATGCTGCACCTCCTGCAACTTCATCAAACCTGGAACTACTGAAAATCTATCCTCAGAAAATTAGGGGTACCTAAGTTGACATTAAAAATGTCATGTGAGGCTCAGCAGTTAAGAACAATGGCTGGTCTTTCAGAGGATGGGGGTTCAATTCCCAGCACCCACATGGTGTCTCATAACCATCTGTAACTCCAGTCGCAGGGTATCTGATGAGCTCTTCTGTCTTCAGAGGGCACCGAGTGCATGTGACCCACAGAAGAGACACCCCTTCAGACAAACACTCAGACACATAAAATGAAATCTCAAAAATTTTTGTTTTGTTTTTAAATATCATTTGTATGAGGCACCCAGCAGAGGGGTTGAAGCATATGCAGAGAGGTCTCTAGAACTGGTACTGGAGCAGGCTTGGGGATGACGGCAGCGCTGGCCTCTGGTGAAGCTGCACAGCTGGTCTGGTGGGATTCAGCAGCATGAGTCTGTCGCCTCTCCGGCCCGTTTTTACCTGATGCATTAGCATATCCTTATGATATCTGTTATCCTAATTACATCTATTTTCCAGGTATAGACAGACATACCCCCGAGTATGCAAATCACACGGGCCTCTGCAGCTGTGTTTTGATTAGCAGAAAAGGGTTCTTTGGCATCAGAGAACTAAAATCACCTTTTAGGGTATGACAAGCTCAGCCGAGCATCTCACAAGTGAAAATCAGAGGTTTCTCTAAGGCAGGAATGAGAGCGACCACAAAGAATTAAAAGGAGAACAGCCCTTAATGGTTTTAGCTGTGAGAGCTCAGTCATAATGCTATCCAGCAAACAGCACAGGAGGAAGTCAAGGCACTCTTCCGGTCAACATAGGTCCCCGGCCTGCTTCTAGAAGAATGGTAAGGAGGGTCTCGGGGACCACCCAAAGCCACCACTTGCCTAACAAGGGCTCCAGCAGTGAGGCTGGGAGCAAGCAGAAGCCAAGGGTGCTTGCAGGATGGAACCTAAGCCATACATTCATTCCCACAAGCTCCAATGACTTGCATGCCCTATGCAAATCATTATACAAATCACTCCAAACCCCCTTTGTACTCAGGCTCCTTTTAGATGTTATTTCCAGGCCCCTCCACCCTCACCCTTTCTAGGAGCCAGAGGCTGAGTCTGAAGAAGTGGCTCACACCTTAGGAGGAAAGGGAATCCTTTGTAATGAGAAACAGCATTCTTGGCATTCTCTTAAAGTTCTCTCAGCAGAGACACTCGAATCAGGGACCCAAACAAATGTAAAGTGGTACCTATGGGAGGTAGCAGAGCCAAGAAACACCTACAGGAGGGAATCCTGTCCTGGCTCTTGCAGTACTATGGCAGGCTTTCCTGGATGAAGGAAAGGCCATGCCAGGTACAGGGTAGGGCAAAGCGTGGTGGCCTGAAAACGCACCTCACATTCCAGTGTATGCTGATCTCTCTGATGGAGGATCGCTCCACTTCTGTTTGCCTTGAGGATTTACTATATTCCAGGGGCTGTTCTTTCCAGTTGATGTGGCAAGGTGACAATTGGCATTTGCACTCAGGGGAGCCAGATCAGGAAGAGAGCAGTTTAGCTAGGGAAGTCTCCCAAAAGAGGCTACACCTGATGATGAGCTGTCCAGGCAGGGGCCAGCACCCAAGAGATTCTGGAGAGAACCACAGACGGGTTAGGCCAGCTGGAGTGGCAAAGTACAGCAGAAATGAAGTGAGCTACAAGGAAACCGTGAGCAGCCTGTAAGAGGTTTGGAGGAGCCTCCTTCATACTATACCTAAACTTACGTGTTTCTGTTTTTATTATTGTTAGAATTCCCAGCCACTCCCCCAGCTACGTGACCCAACATGCTCTGTCCAGTAGTCAGGCAAGATGCTTAGTCATCCCTAGGGTCTTATGTCCTACGTAATCCCTGAGCTGTGTGTGATCACGTAATTTATGCTCATGCATGGAGTAGCTACATAAACCCATATGCGCATGTGCTGGGGGAAATCCATAAAAGCGGGTTCCACATATCCCTCCTCCTCTTCCTGAGCAATCTTTCCATAGGCCTAAGCACCCTTTTCTACTTCCTCCCCTTAATAAACTCTTAGAGTGGCTTTTCTCACAGGGTAAACAGTGCCACTTAATGAATAACATTGCACAGCTTAATAAATAACAATTATTATCATTGTTGTTGTTGTTGTTTAGATTAGGTGACTCTAGAATCCCACACTTACATTTTATCGAGTGTTCAGCTCACCTGCAAGACTTACTTGGTCAAGCTCCCAGAAATGCTACTAGCGTAGTGGGGCCTGGAAACCTGCCTTTCTAGCAGGTTCCCAGGTGATGTACACACCTTTAATCCAAGCACTCAGGAGGCAGAAGCAGGTGAATCTCTTGTAAGTTCCAGCCTGTCTGGTCTACCAGGACAGCCATGACTACACAGAGAAACCCTGTCTTGAAAAAAACAAAACAAAATGAAAAAGTGTCTAACCATTCAGACCAGTCCTTCCTTCCCTCTGAAGGCCTCATAGAAGCATCTCTGCAGTCTACATTAACTCTGGAAATTTAGCACACACTCATTCATTCATTCATTCATTTATTCAGCAAGTCTTTACTCGGAATCCACTCTGACTGTGGCAGCAGGAAACTCTGTGGTCTTATTCCTACAATGGGCTCACTTCTCAGCTCCTTCCCCAATTTGCTGAGCGACTCAGCAAAACCCTGTCCTTCCTAGGAACTCAGTGCAACCAGTGGGGCACCGTAGGAGGATGGAGTGCTGGGGTTGCAAAGCCCCCAGGGAAAATAAAGCCATCTCTTCATGCATATATGGAAACATGGACTCTGCACACAAAGATGAGCTTGCTTAGGGCCACAGGGTATGTGTCTGGCACAGGGTATGTGGCTGGCAGAGCTGCAAGGATGCTGTCTGAAACCGCAGAGACCTAGCCTCCCGCCCTCCACCACTTGTCTTCTCGCTGATCTGTCTCTCTCTCTCTCTCTCTCCTGATCCTCTGGTTACTGCACGGAGTGAGGCTGTCTAGTTGGAATGCATGGAGCTCTAGAAAGTCAACACAACCACCACAAAGCTGCTGACGTCTTGGGACATTCTCGTTTACTCTCCACAGTATGATGACATTCTAGAGAGCACTTTTGGTTGTGAGGCCCAGGCCAGGAACAGAAGCACTAAGAAGCCTGAGCCCATGCAAATGGAACCGACCTCCTCCTC